TCCGCCATTTTGTTCACAGTCTTTCATCCGCTTGGCCTTCTTAAAAATGGATTTATTACTTGAATATTCGCTCGTTTATGCAGATGATCGGCTTCTGCTTCTTGGCAACGGTGTGAAAGTTGAATCTATTTTGTAGATGGATTGCTGGCTGCTTTAAGGTGGCGTGTTTTGACACTTGATGTTTTTCCTTCTTAGATCCTTGTAGAAAATGAAATCCAAATCCTTGTAGAAATTTACACTATTTTTAAATTAACTCCGCCCTTGCTCGATATTACATCTACTGCTTTCCGGCCCCCAGATTATCAGACGTTAAGAACTGAACCAGGATCATCTGGTCGGCTTGCTCCGTTCCAGAATGTATTATTCGATTCTCTGTCATGTTTTTAACAGTTATCTGCAATTAAAAGCACTCGAAAAATTTGCTGGATCATTTGTGATATTGTAGTATATTCAACATTTGTAAATCCCGTGCGATTCAGAGTCAGAGACAGCCTGCTGCGAAACCATATTATTGCCATTAGTTTAAACGGTGGGGTTGCAGATTATACTAATGGTAATTTTTGGTAATGCATAAAATTCCATGTGTTGCTAGCTGTGTGTTTTCTTAAATGTTGACTTGGTCACCGATGGCACACAATTTCAGAGTCTTCCTACCTAGCGATAAATTGCCGGTGTTGGCAGTGACATCGCTGTTTATCTCGTCAAAATTCGAGGTAAGCCCATTCGTTGTGTTTTGTTATGTTCATCATCTTTTAAGATGAAATACGGCCCAACTATATGTGACCTTCTTCCGGAATGTGGCCTTTTGCATACTCGGAAAGAACTGTTAGAAATGGAATGTGAGGTTTATAAGGCGCTTAATTACGATATCAGCTTTCCGCTGTCTCATACGTTCTTAGCGTGCTTAGTTAAAGTACGTCAGTACACTCTATTAGTTACGATGACAATTGCTGTTCAGGTGTTTAATGGCTCGTTTCATTTGCAGTCGTTGGCTCGTTTCATATTGGAAACATCGCTTATGTACGTCGATTTTTTGTCTTATCCGGAAAGTATGCTTGCATCAGCAAGCTATCTTCTGGCTACTAAGATGCTCCGTGTCGGCGAATGGGTAAGTGATTGCCGTTGACTTAGACTGTTTTGGCTTCAGGTCAGGTCGAAGTACCTTTAACCAGATTTTCTCCCCACGTCAAGTTGTTGAGAAATCTTGGGAATTTTCTCATCTGCTCTTCATATGCTTTGATCACTTGGAGAATCCTTATGACCGAATTTTGCTCAACAGACTGGGCGTGCTTGCAAGCATATTGGATAGATAGCCAGTTTTTTCGAACCAGTTATTCACCGTACGTTGACAGCAGGTGCTACGTCAGAATAAATAGCGTTAAGTCGAAACTTTACAGTGTTGGCACTGGTCTCTTCCAATGCTGCGTTCTGTTTCCTCTAAAGTCTGTGGTGTACATGGATAGGACAGTCAGACGTTGGCGAGGCGACGAGTGTGTCAGCGTGGGAGATGTAGAGGCCAGAAATTTGCTGTTTCGTAGACGATCTTATTTTGATTGCATCTTCCGAAACTGATTTACAGTGCTCAGTGGAAGGGTTCGCAACCGAGTGCGACGTGGCCGATATGCCTGTGAAAGTGTCTCAAACCATAACCCTAGTAATTTCTCGTTCTTCTGCTCGTTGCGCTCTGCAGCTAATCGGAAATGCGGTACAGTGGAGAAATTCACCTGCCTCGTGATCAGGTTTATCGGTGATGAAAAATGGGCAAAGAACGACCGATGAATTTGAATCGGCAGCATTCTGCGTTAGCTAGACCAAACCGTTGTTACTAAAGCAAAGCGATTTGAAAAATAAGCTGTCTCTGTTCGAGATGATCTTCATCCACATGCTTATCTAGATCGCTAATTGTGGGCCATGGCTGAAAAATTTCGATCTGAGGTAGAGGGTGCTGAAATGGGCTTTCCGAGATTGATCGCTTAGCTCACGCGTATTGACATGGTATGAAGTTCAGAAATCTCGAAAGGGCTGGATATACAGCTTCCGCTTCTGCTGAATAAGAAGGTTACGGGTGCGACGGTTTGGGCAAGTCCTTCGAATTCTTCCAGAAAGGGAGGCAAAACAGGTACTGCTTGCTGTACCGTTTGGTCGAAGACCCCGTCAATTACCGAGAATAACCTGCAGCACGTGCCTCGAGGGAGTCTGCTCAAGACTCAAGTTATTTTTTGTTGAAGTTCAAACGCTGGCACATGATCGGAAACAGTTGAAGACACCGTAACCCGAAAGGATAGACGGTCATCAAAACTGACTGACTGTTTTGATTCGATTGTTTTGAAAGTTAGATGTGATCTATTTTTGTAATATATTCAGTAAATCTTGGCTTTCAGTATAGATAAAAGTAATAAATAATTGATAAAGCATGCTTAAAGACTGAAGAGACCGTTCTAATAATTGATAGAATTAGAGTAGAACAATAGTGAACAAGATTATTATGAAATTACAATTATTAACTCAAAACTGAGCACATGAATAATGCCTCTAATGCTGAGAAGTCCAGTCTTTATCTTCGCCAGCATTCATATGCTTGAACCACTTACTGAACATCCAAGCAGAGTATTCAAACTTTGCGGTTCTGCAAATGACCCGGAATAATGAATGACCAACAGTACCGTTTTCGATCGAACGAACTTTGGACGAGCCTACCTTCTCGGTCTTTGTCATCATGTTTATTTAATGGCGGTATGTTATAGCAACTTCGCAATGCTGTCAACAGATCTTGCAATATGTTTTGACAGCTCTTCAAACTTCCGACTGTTCAAAACGCCAGAAAGTTGCCACTGCTTATTGCCAAACTCTGAGGACGCATTTAACATTGATCACCAGCAGAGTTGCAATATTCGTTTGCGATATTAGAAAAGTCAGTCATATCGTTCAGATGCGTCATACTAACATCCAGTTCCTCGAACTTCACTGATATAAATTCTCTGCTTAAAGTACTGGTCTCCTTAACAGACTTGCCTCTGCGGGTTTCTGATGTGGCAGTGATATACACTCGACCATCTGAATGAGGGGAAATTGAAGATTTGCGCTGATACTTGAAGAAAACCTGAATTAGGTAGCTGTAGACTTCAAATCAGGGCGAATTGCTTCCTTATCTCATTGGTGTATTTCTAATTTAGACGGATATTCACGCACAGTTGACAGGATACAGCGAATCTTGTCTTTCTCTGTTGATGTGGCAGCTTAACCAAATGTTGTATCTGCCACCGCCGGTCAACAGTTTCGGTTGCATAAAACAGAAATATAGCGAAGCGTAAGTGTTAAATGTAAAAAAAACTTTAGCGGCATTGTAGTATTCAGTAAACTATTGTTATCTGTTCTCAGGTTTTCACTTTAAACGCTGGTGTTTTTGTTCAGTTTTAGTCGAGTTAGCTGCGTCTTCAGCCAAGCTAGAAACATGTTATGTTAAACTTTTGCGTTTAAGAACCTGCCTGAATTCTGCTTTGAAGGTGCAAACTAAGGAAGGAAAATGCTGGTAAGTACTTACCACAGTAGCTAGTACGTAATGCAGCATAGCAGAAAGTGACACTCAGTTGTGTCAAAAAACTTACGGTGATTGTGATTAAAAAGTTAGAGGAACTCCCCCGTTTCCACTCCCAAGCCCGAATGAGAAAGGAAGGTCGTCTTCCGGGTTACCAACGACCGTGCAGCCTGTTGGAGAACTTAGGCAGACTGAGAAAAGTCGGCGATCATAACTTCCTTCTCGCCTTCCGCCATCCGAGGGCTTAGTAGCACGATTACGGCTGCCCATGATCAACAGGAAGACGAAAATGAGGGGCTACACATTCTGAATTGAGAAGGCAGATAGCGCAGTGTTATTACAGCACGTATTTGTTGACCTGGAAGCCAGAAGCGATCCTATTAGTAGACACGAGATGTTCGTCTAGCTTTCAGCGAGAAGGTTGCATTCCAGTAATCGCGTGGAAGCAAATAGCGTTCAGTTCGAATGCAGTACGAAGAAGCGCGCAAGGCAGAAGCAGAAGCTGGTTCGTTGGAATAGTTCGTTAAAGTGCTTGATTCGAAGTTCTAGACTACATGCAGTGTATTCTGGTAGACCATTCACCGCATCCGATATAGAAAGAGGGCTGTTAAGAGTTCTGAATGACAAATTCTTACAATTATGAGGACATACTTTGGCGATAGAAAGTGCTTTGACTATGTATAATCCCGAGCAACTGCAGAATGATTCGCTGAAAGAACAGCGGGAAACGGGTAAATCTTTTACTAGGTGAAATAGCAAATAAAAGGTGTAAATGGCTTAAAAAGTGGCAAGACTGCTATAATCGATTAAATCAGCCCTGAAATCTTGAAGCATTAGTCGAACAAGGCATTTTTCGGCCGAGATGTATCTGTAAAACTTCAGTGGCTACGAGGAAGATTCCGATGGACTGGAGAACGGGGGTTCTGTTACGTAATTAAAGGAGGGAGACCATAGAGATTTCTGCAGTTATCAGAGTATTTTCTTATTCAGCCTCCCGGAAAAATTCTGAGCTAAGCTGTTAGAAAAAAGCTGCGGAATAACTGGCTCTAAGATACAAGTAGATCAGTGTGTCTTCAAGTCAGATCGAATAAACTGACCAAATCGTCGCCTGTTTGTTGAGAAGTCGTGCGAGTTTGTTGATTCTGTTTTCCTGAGCTTTGTGGACCTGGAAAACGCCTATGAATGGATCTCTCGCATCCTGCTATAGTGCTTGTGAACGTATACGAACGTACGATATCCAGTCAGTATATATTGATAACAAGTGTGCTGGAAAGTAGCGATAATAATTTAACCCGTCTCGACATTGTCCGGAGCAAGAGATCATTTGTGTACAGCCACTGTTTCTCAGAGTCTCCAAGCCGAATCTCACAGTTGCGATGATTTTGGCATTTCGTTGGATTGCTTTCAGAAAAAAATGTGAAACAGTTACTACTTTTCCAGCCGAGCCGCCGACAATCTTGTGGACAACCAAGAATAACCTGGGGCAGGTGTCAGGAAGGATCCTACTTGAGATTCGGGTTATCTTGTGTCGAAACTAAAACACTGGCACAGCATCGCGCTTGTTGTAGACACTGTGTGATGAGTTTGCCTGTGCCACCCAAAAGGATATGTTGTCGATTGGTTGACTGAAATGCCTAGGTAAAATGGCAGACATATTTACCAGAATGTGCAATTCAGAAGCGACTGTTGGTTTAATAGATCAAGTGGCATGATGGCGTTTCGTTTTTTCTGTTCGATTAGCGTTTTGATGATAGAGTGTTCAGGCAGGCTTTCACCGATGGGAAAGGTAATGTCAGTATATGTCAGATGGTGTGTTATACGCGATATAACTTCGATAACGTTGTTTCAAAGTTAGTTATACCATCAGTGCGGTTACCTCTACCGATCAATCTTGTTAATCTTAAATGAGGAAGATTGAGTCTTCAGCGAGTTCAGTCGGCAGCCAGCAATCACTATTGCGCGTCATGCAGGCCAGACCAACTGATGAATAGAAAAGTTGCAAAGCAAGCCACTCGCGATGAACTCTGAGCTGAAAAGGAAGAGTTAAAGACAGCCTTTCTTCGCACACTTTTCCTGGCAGGGAAACATTAAGCACTATTTGCACTATGCGGATGCTGCGGCATACTGTTCCGCAAGGAAACACATGTAGTGATCCGACGGATTCAGCGTATTCGACTCTGCAGTTTTCGAAACCTGATCGTGAAGACGTCTTCAGTTAAACTTTAGGGGTGTATTTTGTTATGATGTTGTCAAAGCATATATGGAGTAACAGCTCCCAAAACATGATTCGTAGCAAATCACGTGAATTCTAATCGACAAAATGATGCAACATGCGTCTATCACCATGTGTTAATACTATGGAGTTGTGACTTATTACGTGGCTCCCTTGAATTTAGGGGCAATTAGGTGGTACCATAATGCTCTGAATCCCAGCTTGGTTTAGCTATGTGTGTTTGTGAATTTAAGCTTAGAAATTTGATCTTTGGTATATGTAGGAATGCAGAATTCTTCGAAATAACTCCCCGTCAGCTTCTCGTCCTGAGAAAGGACGTTGTTACATTCGCATGGAGAAAGTACATATCCTGCTTCGTGTTTTGCAGTGAAAGTAATTAATCATGATAGTCCTGGTAATCATAGTAGTCTCTTGAAAACTCGTTATGGTATAACTTCTTTTTTGTTCTGTTTCATTGCTGTAGTTAAGTCGCCTTTATTGCGTTTCAGCTCTCTGATCCTCATATTGTTTACTGTACTATTATGTATAACGCCCCAAGGTAAAGGGACATGAATAGCCGTTAGGTTTTCGAACAGCCATCGTTTGTCATAAGCATTTCTATTAAATTCATTATTCCGTCATCTAGAAATCGTTATTTGTCGCGAACATATTGGAAGTTTATTAAGGGCCATGCATATTTTTTCGTAATTCAAAAATTTATTGAAGTACGTAATTTGAAGAAAAGTCGTATACTCTTAGCGTATTTTATCACAAAAAATTATATGCGAATGGGAAATCACGATAACTTTTCTCTCTGAATGTCAAGAAAATGTCAAAAGAAATGGGTTGACCAGCAGTGATGATTTTAACAGTCGTTTTTATGTTAATCAGACGGGCAGGATCTTGTTTTTCTGGTGGTAGCAACAGTCTTTGAAAGGTGGACCACTGCTTTCAGACATGGGTTTAAATGGCACACCTAAATTTTTCATTTGTGTTTTTTTTAATATACTGCTCTAGCATACTTGATCAAGGTTTTGTTCAGCGATGTAGAGAGAAAAAATATTTTTTCAAGCGAAGTTCTCTCAGTTCCTTCTTAACTTTAACAGGTGTAATGTAGCTTACAAGAAAGTGAACGGCAGTTGCCAAATTGAAGTTCTGAGTTTGTTTAATGGTAATTTGGATTTTGTTTCACTTAAAACTTACCAGTCTAAAACCTGAGAATTGTACCTTTAAAGTTTTCTGAATCTGGTAGCTGCTGAGTCTATCAACGAAAGAGCTTATAACAGCTGGCAGCACGGAACTGTTCCCTGTTATTCATCGGTATGAAAGTTGTTTATTTCCTGTTTATTGTGCATGACCTTTCATGGAACAAATTACTGTTTGGAATGCGATTTAACTGCAAGTCCTTGAACTAATCGGATTAACACTTGTCATTGTAACGGCTTCTACTGCACTGTTAATGCCGTATTCATGTAGAGAGTTTGCCTGGTTTTAACAAAAAGCGGTAAAGGCATAGCTTTACTAATCAGCATGAAGCACATACAGCGAAATATTTGCATGTCGATGATTAAATTAAAACGGGCTCATTCTTGCAATGAACTGTTGATCGCTTGAAATGTAACATAAAATAATGAAGCCAATTGGTTCTTAATCTGGGCGTTGATTTTTGCATTCCAGATCGGAGTACATTTTTGGTTTTAGAGTGTTATGCGAAGTCGCTCTGATGAACCCACTACCAATATTGTAATCTCCATATACCTCTGATTTGAAAGTTGTTGCCATTAAGTTGCTTTTTGCTCATTGTTGTAAATAGTTTTGTGTTGAATTCTTTTTTGTTTTGTCTTAGACCTTAATGGAAATGTATTTTGCTTATGGTTATTGCTGCTTTTGGCGCAGCGCTGTTTTTTTTGTGCAAAAAATCTGTTTGGTCGTTGCTCAAACTGTTTCGGTGAGTTTGGCGACATTTTTGAGGCGACAATCGGAGTTCTTTCGCTGATTAGATTTGTGCCTATTATAATTGCTTTTCTGTTTCTGCTTTGTTTTTCCTTTTGGAAATTGTTCGGTCTGAACACATTGGAATATTAAAGTTAAATTTAAGACTTTAATTAAGTTGCATTTTTGCCTAACGCGAACATGCGTTGCGTCTGCTTCATAGTCGATCGTTAATCTGAAGGGAAACGAGACTCTCAGATAGGAAATTTAGCCGCCCGCGCTGGATATCTTTCAGAAAATCAACAAGATCGGCGAAGGCACCTATGGGGTCGTATACAAAGCGCGCAACAAGAAGACAGACAAGATCGTGGCGTTGAAGAAAATCCGGCTCGACGTGTAAGTGGTCTTGAGCCTCTTTGTCTATCCCTCTTCGGCCTTACCGGTTTCTGTTTAGAAATGGCGAGGGGGTTCCGAGTAGCTCATTGCGTGAAATCGCACTGTTACGTGATCTCGATCATCCGAACGTCGTTAGGTACATAAACATAGTCGTGTTTTGTGTTTTAGTAATTTAGAAAGCAGCCATATTTGGAGCGAACTAACCATTAAACGCTTATTTTTGATCAGTTTCAGGAAAGCCAACATGGTGAGAGTACCAACAAAGTGAAATCGAGGTCATTCAGTCGAAATCTCCAATGCATTGGTTCAGATATAATGCAATATGCTGCTGTCGAGTTAGCATGACCTAGAATGTTTGCAGATTTAATTTTAAGTCTGTAAATTGTGCCGAGTACGTGCATGGGTGACTGGATGTTGTTAAGTTATTAGAATCAGTTTTTATGAGATGGTTTCGAAATAAAGGCTTCATAATTATCAGTGTCAGTACCTTACGAACAAGGTACGCTAATTCATTTTCAAAGTCGTTACAGTAATCGACCCTCAGACAGGATGACCACAAGTTTACAAGTTCTGACATGACCACATTTGGACATTGTTCTGTTCATGCACAATTGAATCACAAGCGTTTGTTAGCTGACTGCATTGGGATGAATTTGGAGTAATCCTTCATCCCTGGAAAGTATTAGTTAATAAGAACGTTTCAACTACTCCTTTTGCCGAGCTATTCATTTCTGGCTTGTACCACTGCGGTTTTCCCCACCTCCGTAGTCCCAGTCTTACTTTCGTGGATGTGGGTTCGTAATTTCGCTGTTCAGTTTGTTTTAAAATGTCAGTGATATTTCGTTTCCGTGTGAAATACTGCTGTTAAGCAAGGCGTTTGGTCGGTTCTGCGTTCTTGCTTAAGAATTAAATGGATTCGAGATTAGATAATTGTTAGTTTCTGCCTCTTTGCTACGTGTCGATTCGCACTACAGTGGAGAAGGCAGTTATCTAAACAGTCTAATGATCGTAGTTCTCTCTGTTAGATGGCAGTTCAGTGACTTGTGTGTTATGGTTTGTATTAAGTACAACAATGCCCGTTTTTGTAACTAGGACTTTGTAAAAAGCTATTTTTTCGGAAGGCCAATGCATCTAATCGAAAATACAGTTGGTCACGCTATTTTGATTTCTCTTAAATTTGGTATTCATACATATTTTTGTTATTGTTTATTTTGCCGAAGAAAAACATTCGAGGTTTTACAGTACTGATTGATGTTAATCAGGGGATAACTTGTCATGATGGCGTTTTGCGTTCACAGACAGCTGTTTGTGCGCTGCGATTCTTCTGCTGGATGTTCGAAGTGAGTTACCGACGTATCTCGCAGAATAGGCTTTCATTCGTTCGTTTTCACTGTCCACCATTCATTTTCTAGCTCCATGAAAATTTGCCTCAGGGCTTATTCCCTCTCTCCCTATACTCTGTTAAAATAAAAGTATTTCTATTACGTGTAAACGCTCTGTTTTGTTGAAAGTTTACTCGCTCGTTGCTTTATTTGCTATTTTTGAGTTTATTTTTCGATTTAACATTTAGGTTATTGGACGTTATTCATGTGAATAAGCGGCTGTATTTGGTATTTGAATATCTTGCAAAAGACTTGAAACACTATTTGGATTCTTTGGGCACGAAACCTGTACCTGCGGCTCTTGCAAAGGTATGAATGGTTTTCTTTGTGGATTTTCCTGTGCATGTCGTTTCATATATTACGCCGCTGCCTGCGTCACAGGGACTGTGTGACCCTTTTTGCACAATTATTTAAGCGATTTTGAATAATCTGAGTAATGAGATTGCTTCACTATGTGACTTTCCACTGATTTTAGAAAGTAATGGTATAAAGGTAACAACGCGGACGGTCAGACTTGTTACTGAAAGCTATACGACATGACAATTATCATATAGGTCTA